TGTTTGGTGAATCAGAATCACCCGGTGAATAATAATATGGTTTTGCAAATATCATTATCATTATTAAATGGTTTATTCCTTCGTCATCTTTGATCGAGGCTCTCGCGAGACGGCCAAGGAGCGTTGTTTGGTGGCATTTTATTCCAAAACTCGCTCGCGAGTACGCACATACCCGGTAGTATATTATGTTATATTATAAACGTCACGTCATACATACGTCATGTATATATATCGTATAATATCGGCGGCATATTTATATATACATATATGATGTTTCCGTGTGTGTGTGTGAGTGTTTTTTAAGGCGAGGCGGATAAAAAGTCGGCATATATGCGGTTTGCCAAGCCGCCTCGGGGTGCGTGCGCGTGCGAGTGCGAGTGTCTTCTAGCCGTGGCCTCGATCACACCCCGCTCCGGCGGCCTGCATGGGTATCCGCGCTTTCTTTTCTTCTACGATACAAGATATAATTATAATAATATAATAATAATATATGATATCGCGCATGGACACAMGAACGATTTTTTTTCTATATACATTATGGAGGTAMATATTACACGAGTGCAGATACTGCAGCAAAATATATAAAGGTAGGTATATACCCACCCGGGTGTATAGGAGCGAGCAAGCGTCTATCAATCATCCTAGGCGAAATCGCACGAGACGAGCACTCCGCAACAAGGGAGGCATTTGGCACAGCGGTTTCGAGGAAACAAATTATCGTTGTTCCAATCATTAGGACATCACGTGATTGGTCATTTAAAAGTAAAAAAAAAACCGGTACAGTTGGGAAAGCTGCTGGTCGAAATAAAAAAAAAAAAAACAATATGAACATTAAATGATTGCGAATTGTGATATATTACGTATATAATAGGTAATATATTATGTATATATTATAGTACCATACCTAGATTTTTCTCTTTGTTGGTCGTATATTTTAAAGTATAGCGATACTATGATTTAAAATTGTATATAATTAAATGTCAATATTTTGACAGCTCTACAACGTTTATAATATTAAAAGCTGTAGCCGCCATAATATAAAGATATACACGCGGATTAATAATAATGACTTAAACATTTGACCCGCAATTTTACTCACCGCCGTATTATTAAACGCATAATTTCGAGTTTATCGATTGCAAACAAATTGTTCAATTTTCTAAACAAAAAAAAAAAAATCACAACGGAATTGAGTTATTTATCTCACATTACAAAAAAAAAAAAAAAAAAATCACAACGGAATTGAGTTATTTATCTCACATTACTATTAATAACCGTAAAAGGATGATGATACAGAAATGGTTTATATACATTTATCTAAAATTGGACAGTGATGAAATCCGTACGAGAATAATTAGCTCGTAACTATATGAGAAGTTTATGTACATATTGATAAATAAATATATTATTATGTGTATACTCGTGTATTGTATCTATTTTATGTGTACATTATAAGTTTATTTTTTTTTTTAATTAAACATTAAATATCAAAGAAGAAGTATATATAAATGTAGGTATGAAAATAAGCATTATTATGTTTTCAGTTATTCGTTGAACTTGAGCATAGGTGGTAATATATTATATATTTACATACTAGCTACTAGCTAGCTAATCCCGGTGCACTYCATTGCCCGAAGATCCGATAAGCAGTTCCAGAGTTTACCCCGTACAAAGATTTTTATTTCACATTTATGTGTATAATTRTGTACAGCAAACAATTTAAAAAACACAACATATCACCAATTTAGTTCTTAATGTGCACGAGATATTATACGAATRACGATTACGTCTATATTATAACATTTTGCACAGTTCGAGTAAAGCGATTTTCAACGCCCACGTTTAGTGATGAGTGATGACGAACGATATACCTAATTTAAACCATGAATAAGATTTTGTATATTTAAGTTTGATAATTCTGTTATCTTGTCCGTATAGTACTACGAGGTAAGTAATCTGAGCTAGTCATCATGTTGGTAAAAATGTAATCAAATTAAATTACGCAATGAAATATAATACAATTGAGACTTTCGCGTAATTTATGAGTTACAAACAAATTTTAAATTGAGCTTTTTGATTTCCACGGTTTCAACGAATATAATAAGTAARTTTATAGCCATATAGGTAAATACTCGCAACTTCGCAAGTCGTGACTTTTAAACACACTCATAAGTAACGGAATGCCTGATCATGACTTTAGTTAAAGGTGCTACATTGTGATGAAGCTGTTCTCATTGTTAACGATATAACAAAATAATGTTAATAYATAAATTGCGCACATTTTAAATTTATAGTAAATTTTAGATTCTAACATGTGTTTAGAATATAGAAAATAAACACATTTCAATAAACGTATTTAGATTATATAAAATAATATGCATTATAATATTGRTAACAAGTAACCCCATTAATAATGTATAATAGACAAAGTAAGTTTTTTTAAACGAAAGTTAAAAGTTTATACCAACGAGTTAATTGTTGCCGGGTAATTATGCTGCTCGCATTATCTGTAAATATGTATGTAGGACTTTAATATCAGTACCTATATTATAAAATAATAATCGCAGTAATCTGTGATTGACAATTTTATTGTTCAAGTTCAAAAATACWTACTAATCAAATTAATTATTAGTTATTGGCTATTGATTTAAGATATTATTTGTTCGTTTACCTTGGCGCCACACAGTTTATAATAGGTACTATATCTGGGTGCATAATATATCATAGTGATTGTACAGCATAGCTCTTATTGCTTGATTATTTTTTTTATATGCATCATTTAATAACTAAACGTCTAATTATATGTATTTAATATTTWATGCAATATCAGACTAATTAAATATAAAGTTAGATGTCGAATTTGTTAAATGAAATAAAAATAATTATTTCGAACCGGTAGAAAAGAAACATAATTTGAACTTGTGATGGTGATAGCGAAAAATCTAATAAATTTAAGAAAGCCAATGTCAATAACCGCGCTGAACATAGCACACAAATATCTATATTTATCGATATTCGTAATTCATAGAACAAGTCGAAATACTATTTAAATTGATTTGAGTCATATAATAACGATTAAACTTTAAATACATATAGATAAACATTATCAATTTTCTGTTTTCTGTTTTATATTAACAATTATTATTTATTTTACAGCTGATATAGTTAAACGATAACGCATTACAAAGTATTAGACTGTTGACACATACAGTCATATGTTGTGTTTTGTTAAGATATAAAAATACTGCGAAGTAGAGAAAATTTATGTACGATCAACGTTTTTTTTTTCATATACCTTATACAGTTATACATATACGTTATTGAAATCAGAGTTGAAATATTTTTTTTTAAAGGATACGAAAACAGACGTGTTACTGGCAGGTATACCGCGTTGCAGGAATACACCTACATTCCCAGGTGGCAACTAATAACTATATACGTCATTATATTACTGTCTGTTTCTGTTTAAATTCTTAAAATACTAACTCGGCACGTACGGCGGTTTTAGAAGAGATGATTTCGACAATATTTGCCTTCGTCAAAATTCAAACCGTTACTTACGTTGAAATCTATATAAAACTGCCTTTTCCAATCTTTTGAAGACGTTAAATAGGGATGCGAGGTTTACATTTTTCAYCGATTCGTCGGGGTGTAATCACAGCCGGACCTATACACGAGTGATATACCTTGGAGATGGTGTATAATATTATATAGGTATACTCCCTCCTGTGTGTAGGTATATTGATATATTATACTTAAACATACGCGATACAATAACAGACTGCGCAGTAACGAAATCGTAAACGTACCACCACTACAATTGAACGGTATGGGCGGTATGGCAATATCGCGAAAACAAGTCTCTCATCCGCACGTACATATTATATACCGTATACCTATGTACCAATTTTATATTAATTGTTATATTATAACACCGCACGAACGATGCGTGTTAACCAGTGGYGTATGCAGAGGGAAGGGAATGTCAAGAAGATATGGCGCCCCCTTAAATAGTTAAACGTATCTTTTCAAATTACGACACTAAAAAAATAAATCATAAATGAATGTATACTATGATACCCTTGCAAAATGTTGCGTACGCCACTGGCTTAACCATAYGATAACATATACAATGATACCCATATGTACAAAGTATATAGGTACGTCACGCTCATAAGTGAAATTTGGAGGAGGTGATCGACTCGGGCTCTGAAATAGGCACACTCATAATTTATTCCGTTAGTTGTTATTTCTTATTATTATAATATATTAAAATATCCGTTAAGAGCCCTTTATAGCTACTATAGCTAGTTGCCTCTATTCCTATTATATGTGTATAGGCCTAACTGTTGAACATCTTGCAGACATCGGACAATGATCTCCGGTKATATCATTGTAAATTATATTAAATATTCATAATAATATTAACTGTATTGAAGGCATTATCAAATAATATCTACAGAGTATTTGATTATCGAAAGGGCCAGGGAGAAGGGGGTGATGGTTCTCGTCGTGTGYAATCTATAACTTGGAAAATAATTAAAAAATACAGAAGCTTCAGCGCCTCGGGTTTTGGTCTGTGAATTAYRYMGACCCTTGCACATCATCATCATCATCATCGACAGCGATGATAATACAGAACACCTTTATAAATAATGCACACGCACACACAATCGTACGCGATATTAACGCGCAAAAGAAAAGGGTTCGGCCGTGGGTCGCGCGACGACGCTTTAGTCTGGCGCGCCCGTTTAAATATAGACCGGCGGCGTCGCGCGTCTGGACACCGCGGTCGCCAAAATAACCGCGTCTCGGCGGCGGGGAAACGCTTTATACGGGGACGGGCACGACCGGGCCGGCCAAATGGGAATCGTCGACGGCGGACGACGGGGGCACCGTTCAGGGGTGGGGGAGTGGGTGTAATGACGGCGATGGCGCTTGAAGGTGTGAGAGGTGGGGAGGGGGAGATAAAAAGACTAGAAGCGGCGGGCCGCACTCACTTCAAATAGTAAATCTGTCCCTCCGGAGTCCGAGCTTGTTCCCATCCTTGGGGCAGCGGGCCCAACTCGTCGATGGCACTGGACACGTCGTAGCTGCGCTGCTTGGCGTGCTGCTGCTGCTGCTTGGCCGCACCGACGGCGTACGTCTGCTGCAACGAGGCGGGCGAGCTGTGAGCGCGCGAGTGTAATGGGACCGGGCCTGAACACGACGGTCCCACATTTGCAGTGCCGAACGCCGAGTCGCCGGAGTTTTCGCGGCTGTGGGATATGGACGGTGACTTGGAGCCGGTCGATGGAGGGTTGAAGAACGACTTGGGCAGCTGTCGCATGCGCAAAGGTAACTGGAGCGGCTTCTTGCCGTCCGGCTTCAGAACCGTATCGAACAGCGCCTGTAAGTCCGTTTCCGAGTTCTGGTCCACCCGGACTACCAGGTTGCTGTTGACGGACGGCGTAGGGCTGCTCGGTCCGGTCGGTTCCATTTTGATGCTGACCTGTTGGTGCTGCTCTTGCTGCTGTAAGCCGGACATGCTGACGTCTTCGGTACGGCGCAGGTCGTATTTGGTCGATCAGCTGCAGTCSCCTCTGGTGTACATCAAGCTGCAATGGTGTTTCCAATGCACAGTTATACCGGCCACGGAGGAATATTTAATTAGATAATAATACTACAGCAATATATCAACAAGAGTAATAATAATAACAACAACAACAACAACAACAAYAAMAACAATAACCGATGAAACAAAAACGCCTTATTTCACTACGTCCGTTTTTCACCTGTAGTCACCGAGGTTATAGTATATAGTTCTACACCATTTATTTTACTTGTAACTACTCGGTCACGTTTCGAACGAACATTATTTTCTGTTGCAAGTATACGATAATATCGGGATATACGTGTTTATTATTTTCGACAACGTCACAAACGCACATTCACCGACGAGCTCGGATGGACCGAACACAAACGCGTTCACTCCAAAACTGTCTGGCGAGTCGCGAGTGGAAACTGGCTGGCGCAACTAGTATCAGCACGAACCGCACGCACGCACCGTACAAGCGGTCCGCCGCGGTCTAAGCGGTGGGGACTCCTCGACACGTCGGGCGCAGTGTAACCGCATACCGGCACGCGGCCCGCGCCGCTATGCCATCGGACCGCCGCCGTTTTGGACGCACTGCCCCGGTGTAGAGCGCCGCACCGCACCGCGMGCGTGCAGTGTGTACCGTGTAATACGGCGACGTACTACGAGGTTCGATTCATTGGCCCTGTCGCACTACACCGGTGCGGGGCGGGCGAGCGCGTGCGGTTCACACCGTCCGGCCGACGATGACGACGACGCTAAAGAGAGGTCATTCATAAACGGACGGCGGCGGATTTCGTCCAATTACATGAGCCGCGTACTGCTGCTGCAGTTGTTATACATATACACAATACAAATTACGTCATTGCACTTTATTTATTTGGTTTTTATCCTCGCGCGCGCGCGTGTGTGTTTTCCGCCGTTTTATACCCGATCTGTACGCGTGCGGTTCCATTCGGAAGTCTTCGAGAGCAATTTTTTTCCCTTTCCATTTCCCTGTTCCGCCCACTACAATATATTTCCGTTGGACATGCACGTGTTTATTATTAGTTATCCGTGTAATATCCAATATTTGGTATCATATACGTAGATATAATATAGTGTATAAACAACATAATACAATATAATATGTATATGGGCACAACTTACTATATAGGACTTACATTTTAGAGGTGCTAGAATTGCTAAAATTATACACATTTAAAACCTTCATTCACAATATAGTATTAATGACATCTAGATTAAAACAATAATTATCCTGTCTTTAGTTGCAAATGTTTTGATAATATATTTAATAATATGTTCAGTTTTTGATGAATTTGTTAGATCTTTTTTAATATTTAACATTAAAGAGTTAAAATCGTTCTGCTATAGTTATACTAGTCCATATATGCTATATATAGCAATATTTTTATCCAGCGAATTATACAAATTAATACATTAACATGAGTACATARCTAATAGAGTTATACATAGAGGTACATCTGTCAGGATTAGCATCTGTAGCACCAAAATATATGTTAAGCGYCCTTTATAGCCACTATAGCTATASTTGCGTCTATTTCTATTATATGTGTATAGGCCTAACTGTTGAACGTCTTGACATCGGACAATGATCTCCGGTTATATCATTGTAAATCGATTGCGCCCTACAACAATATTRCATAAATATTATATTTYATATATGAGATGATCTATACTCTTTATATTATTATTAGAGTTTMTTAATATTATATAGTTCATCAAACCTAGTGGGCTCGATTTCGTGACCGTTGAAGTGAACTTCGCTTCGGAGACTTTGTGATACTATTATATTTGAAAATTAACCTTCGYTTAAGAACAACAGTTCTGATAAATGATTGATCAAAGTTAACAWCGGACGGACTTGTACGTAGACAAGTATAATTATGTCTATATAAAGTAAGTATATAATATATTATTATAGTTATAGTTGTCGTCTCGTGTATATCCGTGTCGAGAAAATCTAAGATGCATGCAGATGCTGCAGACTTTATTAATTATTATTTATTACACATGTACTTAAACGAATCAGATATTATAATATCTATATATATATATAGTATGTCCCATATATTAACCAATGCCATCGCCGATAATATAAAGAAGCTCGAGACGTTTTTAAGGTGTTGTGTGAAATACAAATTTCAAAATACAACCATTATCAAGTAATAATATATCACCTGCATACGTATTGACTATAGAGACATACATAAATAAATAATCTGGTAATCCTCAGACCCAACAAACATCAAGTTTCTGTGAGTTAGGTAGGTACCTACCTAGCTCTATGTCGCAGTTCATTCCTACATATATATATATTAACCTCTAGGTATATATATACGTATATAAAGTATTATATATTTTTTTTTTTTTGAATAAAGGTACACATTCTACACATAATAATATTCACTCAAGGTCATGGGTGGATCAGTTTTTTGGGAAGGGTTTTATATTTTACCTTATTGTATACTTGAAACGAATAACTGTGATATATTGTATATATATAATATAGCCGGTAAAGGTATTTCGGTATAWTTGGTAAAGTGAGACATGACGATGATATACAATGTTGAAACTTAAAACCATTAAATATTTATTAATATTTACTCAATTATTACTGTGGTAGTATAAAATATAATATAATGTCGATAATAATACGTTTGGGCTACTATAAAATATACGTACATAGATACGTTAAAAAAACTTWAGGTAAGTCTTCAGGATTATTGTTTTTTGAATCATAAAAATATGACTAAAACTAATTCCTGTTCAAAAAAAATTGTATATCTTATAGTTATATTGCTTCGCTCAAATTCGAATACAAAAGTTAAATAATATAATAATACGGTTTGTCATAGCACTCGTTGGAGATTAAGGTTTTAGTGATACGTTACAGTTATAATAATCTTATTGTACCTATTTAATTATTTATTTACACAATATTTCTATAAGTACGTTATTATAATATAATAAGTGGTGTATAAATACGGGAATGCGGAAAATTCAGCTGCATTGGGGTTCTAGAAAACAAGGAGCCTTTTTGTCAGCTTAAAACAGCAATACGCCCTTCCAGGATATTGAGTACTTTTATCTATGAGAACAAATATATTTTTTGGTATTTTGCATCTAAGCTATATATGGTCATTTGACATCTAATAAATTCAAAAAGAGTTTTGTATTCTCATTATCACATAGGTATATATGAATTGTAGGTATAGATATATTATATCTATGTTGGGTTTCACGCGTAGATTCAACTGTTTGGAGATGTAACTCGAATGATTTAGTTGGGGATGTGTTATATAAACATTACAAACTACGAGTACCTGTTTAAGATATGAGATCTAGTATGCTAATYATTACATTAAGTAAAAAAATAATAAATATACTTAACGGATTTCATTTGCTGTTTATAAATAAGAAATAAATGTTTACAATATAGTTTGGATGTATGAGACAATAATATTGTCCTGGTTTAGTTTTWAAAAAAAGAGTTAAATACATTGATATAAACTTCAATATAATTCAATATAATTCAATTATACTATTTAAATTTAAAAAAAAAAAACTTTTTTAATTTTGATTATTATTAA